CGAGGCTAACTCTTTCAGTCGACACAAATGCGCTTCTCTCTAAACTACTTCTGGGCTAGACGCGTCTGAACTCTCTTGTTTTTATTAAACTTACTTGGTGAATATTTTTATATTCTTCTATAGTTTAATATCTGTAATGCATGAAATAAGTGAAATTTTCTAGTTAGACGAATGAATGAAATATCGTTTCGTTCATGTGGTGGCAAGAACAATTTAATCTACCATCAGAGACGGACAGGATTCAAAAACTAGGATGTTATCAAGACGTCAATCAAGGATGTAATCAGACGCTTGGTGAATTTCGTGTTTTCTGCGTTTCTGAAAATCAATCCAAAATAGTACAAAGTGGATGTTCCAAAATGTCGCAATTTTTTGATGTATGAGGAAAAAAATAATCGAAAATTTGCATTCGTAGCTAGCCAGCTATATATTGCTCATTTACCGTAACGATTTCTATTGCTTATATATACTTCATGATCAGATAACTCATTCATTTTAAATGATCAAGTGGGAAGTTTACTGGTGCTTTCGAGCTTCCAGATAAGTATAAGTTGCAGCTTTTGGTACTTTCTTCAAAAAATTAACATTTCCTTGAGATGCCACTTAAAAATTAGTCAGGAAAATTGTTAAAAAGACACGCTTCCAATGTTCTATTCATTTTACCGAAAATTCTCCTGTGCAAGCTATTGTCTGCATGCATGCATTTGTTCGAGGTTTGATTGAATAACATTCATTCAATTAATAGCTTTCAATCAATCAATAGCTTTCAAACTTTGCACATACTTCAAGTTTGTGAGAGTTTAACTAATAGTTTTTTTTTTGTTTGTTTGTTTGTTTGTTTCAATTGACATGGCATAAGACAACTTATAAAGCATACACTTTGCTATAGTCGTCGTTTCTAACCTAAGACTTAATAATTAATTAATTGAGCAGTTACTTCGTTATGAAAAGACATTAAATTACAAAAAATACATTGCCTCTGCTAGGTTGATCCAAATATCGAGTCCGGTATGTAATAGCCTTCGACTGCCAGTTAAATAATAGATTCACAAGGTGCGAGAAAAATTTTAAATTATATAAACCATCAATAGATGTCACCAATTTCAATCTATTCACCGTCGGAAAAACTTTTTCAACGTAATAAGCAAGTAAACGTCGCTGGGACATCAGTAAGGAAAATTCTAAGGGGACTCGCAACAGCCATCATCTGACGTCGCGTCGAGGCTTTTCAAGACACTTTATGATCCGGGACGCAGTAACTCAGCAGGGGTTGACTTGGACAGCGTTCCAACAACCTTTATTCAGCCTTTTTCTGTCTTTGACCTTATCTGTCCAGAATATGTGATAAATATGGCTCCGGATATTTCTGTAGGATATGAAAGTTTAAAAGCTAAGTATGGGTGTGCATAACATTTAGGATTTTGCAAAGGAGACTTTGTAACGCATTTGCACGCGTCGCCGTAGTAAATAAATTCCTTCATTTCGAGATTCATTACTTTATACAGTATCATCTAAATACAATCAAAATGCGATACATCGCGCATGATCTCTACATTATGAATATCCAGTTAGCTCCGCTTGCGTGGAATGCAATAGAACCGATATTTTTCGTTTTTTTTTATTATTCATTTCAGGGATAGTTAGTTGCTTATAGACGTTCCCATACTCGGGTCAGCCCAATAGATACAGTTGGTAGCATAGTTTCTTAACTTATTACTCATTTTTCAAGTAAATACTTTCAAAACCTATAGCAAATACGTCTCATGTATGATGCTACAGCTCACGTTTTTCATGGTACTCTAATTAAATTTAAAAAGACTCCGTATTTAAGAAGTTCCACCACACATGCAAAACTGTTGCAGTTCAACGTGTAAAACATATAACATGCCAAAAAATGAACGCTTTTGAACGCTGTCTCTACATGCCGTGTTAAATTGTCTCATGTTTATGGAGCAACATCACAATCTCTTGAACAGCACAAGTGCAATGTAGCTGGAGTTATTGTCACGTGTTTCTGGCCTCAGAGGTACGCCCAGACCATATACTCCACATAGGGCATAGTACTGGTGCATAACAGTCAATATTAACTTTGCTCTGAAAGTTTCGATTGAAAACTATGAGTTTTCGATGGTAGAAGTTGGTGACTAACGTAGGACTTTAGAAGCTCGGATAGAGAGGCCATAAAATTCGGGAAGAGAATTTGGTCTGTTCCTTTAAACTCATGGACAAGCAATTCTATTCTTTACTTCACTTTATTTCTAATTTTGATGTATATTTTTTAATTAAATAGATTTGTAATGATACTGAGAGGTACTACTGCATTGTTAAAAGCAAGAAGTTCGATGTTGATTTGGAATGGTCCTCATTTCGACTTATCTGCCATGCTGATTTTGTGAAAAAAAAAAAAACATTCAAATTAAATAAGCCACAACAGAAAATCATGCAATTCTACGAAATTACATAGAACATAATGTAGATCTCCATTCGCAATACTCAAAAAAAATGGAGTTGGAGTTCAATAGAATTGACCTAAACTCATAAATATACATACATACATTATCAAATATAAGCTCCCTCAACTGTTAAAGAAGCGAAGCAAACTCTAAGATCCCCCTTGAGCTTGCTGCTTCTGCTATACATCGATTCTCCTACGAAGAAGTTGCCCCCTTTGCATTTAAGTCGTATTTGCTCTTAATTATGCGGTCGGGAATTAAATTTCCGGGGGGCTGAGAATTTAACCCGGAAATTAGGGAGGAAATGAGGACACGACAAATGCGCGTACGCTTCTTAAGGCTGTATGGTGCATATATATCACCGTCTATCGTCATGGAAAAAGGAACTGAGTTGAAAATTTATTACCTTTTTAAAATTTCTTCCATAAAATTCTCGAGTCTGCTAGTAATCGAATAATTACAAATTGTTAATTTAACGAGACAAACTAAGGAATTATATTATGCATTTCGGTTGAAAATGTGAGGTGGAGTGCAGCACCATGAAGTCTTTACGGATGAAAAAGTTCAATTCTTTTTCGATTAGTTAAAGTTAGATTGTGCGCCTTTCCTGAAAATATTCCAACACTCTTCGAGAAGCCTAAAACGGGAAGCAAATTTTGGGTGATATTAAACAGGGGAAACTCATGCCTTCGTCATTTTAAAAAGTTAATTTCTGTTGAACCGAACATCTAAATAAATATTTTATAGTAAAATCACACTCCAGTTTATTCACCTGAGAATAGGAAATTTAATAAGAGTCGTCCTTGGGAAAAATTATATTCCTCTTCTTATTTGTACTTTGATTAGAGTAGTTTGATTTTCTTCTTGATTGTCGAAATGTAATCAAGCCTTACTTTTCTGACCAAAGTGGTCAGATCGAAAAGTTTCATAATCATTGGCCACATAACAATCAATTGCGCATGCCTGAGCAGAATTTACATCGTCAAGCACAGCCTCCCTGGCAGCATCGTTGACGCTCCGAGTATGAACGCCTTCAAGAACAGACTAGACGAAGCTATGCAGCAGCATTTGTTCAGTCTTAAAATGCCTAGCAAATTACGGACCAAGTCCAGCAGCTAGCCTATCTCAAGCAATCGTCAGGTTTGGAAATATCGGGTTCCAAAGGCCGGATTCCTTGTGAATCAAGTCACGAAAAATTCAAGAATCGGTAACAGGCCGTGGGCCTATTTCTAATTTCTTCAGTGCCGACACTTCTATTATATTCTAAGACAATTCTAGAGGCTAAAACCGTAGAAAGCGCCGTGAAAATAACGGTTACTGCATCCAACATTGTGGTTCCCCAAACTTTTTGTGATTCAGTAACACTTGAAAGTCACGCACAGTTGTACCAGGTTCCACCGCGTAACAAATATAGATAACTTAAACGACAATAAGCACCGTAAAAAAAATTCCAAGCTGAAATGACTCATACGTCAATGGCCCCAAAAGTGTTCGCTTGAAGGCCCACGCGTACCTCAGGATGGTATACGCTAGAACTCTAACACGATAGAAGTTTCTAGCATCGGGCGTCCAAATGCGTCACTGACTTAAATGCTTAGAATTTTGTTTTTTTCAACGTCGTTTTCCTACTGCTGTCCAATTGCTCTTACCAAACTATAAAGAAAGAGAATTGGCCAGAAAGAGATAATACGGCCCCTGGTTCTTTCTTCGACATACCTAGGGTAGGGACACTCAAGGCCCGCAGAGACATAAAATAAATTGGGGGATCCTGCAGTGAGATAAAATATTCCTCTAAACATTTCAGCATAAATGTCAACAAAATCACTTGATTGGAGTACGAGAATTAAATTGGAAAGACTGCCAAGTAAATTGAATGGTAAAAAAGCCTTTTGCCACAATTTCACTCAAAAAATTCATCTAATTCTACTACTTTTTACACGCACTGTTCGAGCGAGGAGAATATACTTGGAAACCCTGTATCTTTCCGTGCTCAACTGAATATGGCCTCCACCTGTTGATTCAAGATTCCGTGACCAGCAACAGCCAACACTCACGATCTACCGCTACTGACATTGTCACGGGGAATGGCTTTATTGAGCTAACTTTCATCTAACGCCAGTCAGAAATGCAATTTAAGTGTAAATTGCAAGGAAAAACACGTGAAATGGACAGCTCTCGATTACACAACTGCTCCTAAATTTAGGGCATCCAAAAATTTCGTCGATAAGCGCAATCAACGAGAACAAGAGAAAAAAACTAGGCTTGAATAACAGTCGGCCACTGCAAAGGAATTTCTCATCAGAGTGAAGGAAAATGAATCCAGGTATCTGAACTTGACTTTATTGATATTACTCAATTATTAAAATAGATGTCAAAGTTCCTGACAAACAAAATAAATATAGTAAATGACATAATTGGCATGTTTGAAAGGAAATGCAATTTAATTTACTTCGCGTAAAGAACATGATATTGGCAAACAACGAACGGAATGAAATCCTACTCACGTGATACAATTACAATCGATGTCCTATGCATTCACTGAACATGCACAAAATTTATACATATTTACGTGAAATTTGATACGAGCGAGCCTGCCGCGAAGCAGGTAACATAACATATCATAACTGTGAAACATAAAAACAATTCATATTAGTTAAAATAAAACTTTTCTTCAAATGCATCAACAAAAACACACCTTTGGCAGTTGAGGAAATGACTGAATTACAGTACCTGGTAAGGTCAATACATTCGTTTTTAGTCTTCCAAAAAAAAAAATTGTCTTCAGGTGTTGGTAGCCAAAATGAATCTACAAATTGATGTGAATAATCATGGATTATTTTCTGAGCACTAGAATAGAATCTACCACGAAGACTAGTCCACTATTCTACATCAGCTACGCTAAATTTCAGGTATAAGATAAGACAACGCTGTAAAAATTACTCCGATTGCGAGCAATGCTAGTCCATTGTGATATAAGAGTAAAGAAATTTCATTGGATTAATGATCAATTGATGTTATGGCGGTCAAGATAAGATTAAACCCTCTACTGCTTGACATGAGTAACCGGAGCGATATTTTCACAAGCCTCCTTCCCAAAAAGAATGTTCTAGTGAGCGCATAATGACGTGCACTGATGGTTGCCGCCACGTACGACAAATTTAAAATGTTTTCTGTTGCGTGCAAACGTCCTCCTGTTGCTACACTTAATAGGTTACGCATAATTTTAGTTGAAAGTTATGTTCCCGAAAAGTGACATACGGCGGTAGAGGGTCAAGTTGAGAATGGTGAGATAAGTCAAGTAACGTCATGGTGTACGAGTCAAGTAATGACATGCCGCTAGCAAGAAAATCGTCAGAATGATAGCAGTTGTAAATCAAGAACTTACAGGCATTGATATGTTAAAAGCAGACAGGATTTCAGGATTGGGATACTGCGGGTTCTCAACCACACCAACACCAAACTTGTACTCAAGAAAGTCTCTGACGTTGTTCGGGGCAGAAGCTTGCACGCCAGCAAACTGGACACTGGAAAACGGTCGTAGAAAATGCTCGGGAAAATCGACGTCTTGTCGGTGCGCGGTATTCCAAGGCTCAGCTCGCACCATCGTTCCATCCCGAGGAGTGAAGGCATAAATGTCAACGCGAAGATGATTTGCGGTACTGTAGTGCACTTTATAGAAGCCACTTCCCCGCTGCCAGACGTAGCCCTCAGAGTCTTCCAATGTCTGCCATCGAGATGCTTTCAGCTGGTGGCACCTGTCAATATCATGAGCATAAATACCAATATCAACATTATAATCCCAAGGAATTATATCACCACTTCGCACAGCCCCAAGAAGTGATCCGCCTTCAAGCCACCAACGAGCTCTGCAGCTTTTCAGAGCTAAAAATACGTGTCTAGCCGTGGCTCTCAATCCTTCCAAGCAGCAAGGAGGAGTCCACCTGCCTTCGTACAAATAAGATGGAGTGTCGTTCACAACCGCCGGGAAACAACGTGGAGTCTGCCGACTGCATCCGTACCATTCCACTTTTTGACTCGAGCCAATAACTTTTTTGATGCCCAGATCTTTATAAAGACTCTTCACACGTTCATCATTAGCAGTGTCGCGTTTCCACCGTAAATTTTCGGCAGTTAATAGTTCTCTGCCCTCTCCCAACAACATGCCTTTGGCAACGTGAAACTTCCAGCCTCTCAATGCTCCTTGGATGCCCAAACTGAGAAAGAGTGGCCGTCCCCACGGCAAAGTAAATTGGAGAAAATTTTTCGTCCTCAAGAGAAATGCAGCTTTTCCATCAACGCTGTCACAGGCTTCACTATCTGGCGTGGCGGCAACATGAAGCTCCCATCGCTGCACCTCCAAAGATATCTGCTGACAGTTGACATTTCCACTGCCAATGCGAGCAGCTACCCCAGTTGTGTCTCCTGACTCCAGCACCCGCACCATATCGAGGAGTTGTTCAGTTGAAGAGAGTCTTGTACTGTCAGGTAGCAGTAGTACGTATTTGAAGTCACTGAGACACTTGGCAACATCTGGCGAATGGCGTGTGAGACCCGGCTTCAAAATGAAGTGATGAACCTGTTTTGCCAAGTTCAATGGAGGATACACTATATCGTCACTAACTACTGCAACACCACACGATCTGCACACTCGCAATACAGACTCTGCAGTTGCCACGACGTCGTTGTCATACGACTCAAACTCTCGAATCACAGCTATGAGAGAAGGCAATTTATAATGGTCAATTTCGTCAGGGAATTTGTCAATGGTAGGCATAAAATTTTCCACTGGGTGGTTGAATGGAGATGACACAGTAGGCAAAAGCCGTCCATAATACAATTGGCGAACGAGTACAATCAAACAAGCAAGTAGGAAAATTAGTAATGTACACCGTTGCCTACGCACGCGAACCATAATTGGGTTACTGAAATTTACAAGGTAGAAAATTTGTACATAAAATGTACAGTACTTGCAATATTCTACAAAAATCTTCTACATTGAATATGAAGATCACGATATTTGACGATGGCATTTACAATGAATTTGTACTTTACACACATGGGTATGACACATGAAGATCATTACCACTAAATTTAAACACCACCAACTTTCTCCAAAATCCAAAACCATGTCAATCTCATTGCTTTAGTGTGTACATGGTCAGAGTTAAGCATTGAATGCCATTTAGCCAATGGCAAGCTCCATTAATTGCAAATATTACAGAACCCAGAATGTATTGGTATAGTTTAAAGCTTGAAAATTGCAATTGAATCCTTCAGAAGAGAGCAACTTGTTTCCTGGGATCATCAGGAAGGCAAGATCTTTCATCTTCAGCAGTGCCACATAGCAAGCAGTTCATTTCATAGTTCTGGTAGCCATCAACCACCCAGAAGAGATAATGATGTTGGGCCACAATGTGTCCACATGAACTGCATACATCTGAAATAAATCACTAGATCAGACAAGCTGAGGTTTCTTAAGTAAACTTTTGCTCCAACTTCAATGACACTAACAAATTAACTTTCTTTTTTTTAGCATCATGATTTACTAAAATTACAGCCAGATTCATAATATTCATACAGATATTAAACTTTGGTAAATCATAAAATTCTAGCTACAAGGAAAATGATATTTGGTTAAAATCATGTAAATACCAATAATATTAATACTTTTCTTAACAAGTATATAATATTTACCACAACTTACGGTTGTAGGTTATTTCCTGCGTTTCATCTGATGTCATGGTCTCAGTGATGTCTTGAGTAACCAGCGTGTCCATCCGACCACAGCCATGACATCCAGAGAGATTCAGGAGATAAGAGCCGGACTCAAGACAAGTATTACCCTGCAGCATAAATAAAAAGTATGCATGGCAAATGCCTAATGAAAACTGCACAGATAACATTATTTCCAAGTTATAATCTACTAGTTATAGCTTATTACTAGTCACACAGAAATTTTAACCTTTAATTGTACAAATAACATGGGTAATAAGTAGATAATCAGGTAACATAGGTACCGGTAGATATATTGCTGATGCAATATTATTGACTGCACCAAACATGATTGAACAGCAGGTCACTATTCCTTAATCCTTAACAGGGCTGACAGGGCTTAAAAGGGCTTTTTCTCTCCCCCTTATGTGCTATCTTACTCTCCCTCTTGGTTTATACAAGGTCCCAGAAAGATTACTAGAACTTAAATCAAGAACCAACACCAGGGGCCATGACTATAAACTAAAAAAACTGTGTTGCAACTCATCCACACAACATTTCTTCTTGCATTGAATCACCAACATGTAGAACAGCGCCCCCTATTACATCTTTGATGCTCAGAGTATAAATGCATTCAAGAACAGACTAGATAAAGCTATGGAAAATTATATGTTCACACTTGAAAAGCCTAGCACCATATCAAACTCAATGGAAGTTTTGTAGCTATTTCAAACTATCTTCGGTCCTCAAAAGATCCGGTCAAAATACATGCTTTTAGATCTTCTGTGAACAATTCACAAAAAGTACAAGAATCAGCAACAGGCCACATCAGGCCTACTCTTCAGGGCCAATATCCTTCTATTATGTTTTGTTATGACACTCTTCCTGCCTGGAGAGAGTTGGTCACATAACTCACATTGATCCCACTTGGGGACTTATGCTCCTAATATTCTGAGTTGACATGAAGTTAAACTTATTCTTGAATTTTTATTTGAATATTGACAATTTAATGTTGTCAGTGCATTTCAGGGTTGGCGATTTTTTTTATTTTTTAAAAAAATCAAAAAAATCAAAAATCAATGATTTTTTTTATTTCATGATTTTTTTATAAAAAAATCAAGTGATTTAATCACATGATTTAATCATTTTGATTTAATCATTGCCAACCCTGGTGCATTTCATTTCAATTCTTTGCACATAGCCAATGATTATAATTCTTGGTTAGCAATTTTTTGACTGCACAAACATAATATCTCAGACAAGGTAACAAGCCACCTAATATATTCATTTGTACTTAAACAGCAGTCTGTGATTGGTGAGTAATTGCCAATGATGACATAGTATTTTTCAACTGTAATAATCTCTAATGAACATAAGATAATAATAATTTAAGAAAAAGATAATATCTAATTGAGATTATGGCTCAAAAGTTTGAATTTGTGTTATTAGCGAAAAGAATAGTCAGTTTTGATTAATTTCATTGAAAACCTGAGCTTTAGTGTTTTATTTTGAAGTGTTAAAATTAATTTTAGAATTCATTTATGATTCAATTTTCATAAATAATTTAAATATGTAGTAACACGGACTCCTATATACAAGTTACAAGTCCTCTATGCTATGATGCCACTCAAGCCTTACCTACATAAGTTATAAGTTTTCCAGTGCAGCTATCTTGTCTACTACTTTTTTTCAGTGATTTATGACATTCTTTAATAAAAAAGTTTCTTTTCCTACAATTTCCTAAAAGGTCTATGCAATATTATAGATTGGTAATTTAAATTTTTTTCTATAAATGTAGGTAAACCAAGATAAATTGGGTAAAGAAGATTCAATTAAAAATGTATTTTCTGATATTCAAAATAAAATTCCATAAAAATCATACCGTCAAACGTGGAAAAAGGGACAGGCGGGGTAAATAGGGACGCGCATCCCACATTTCGTTGAAATGTTGTAGCAGCTAAACTAATCAAAATATTGCAAAACTAAAAATAGTGGCATAAACTTCAACATTTTTACTATCTATTATGTATAAAGCTAGTCACAAAATCAAACATTTACTATCTCTAAAAAATCGCTGAAAAAAGTGTGAAAAATGCAATTTTGGAAAAGTACCGTAAAATGGGGTAACTTAGACCACTTTTATTTTTATAAATGATGCCATTTTTTTACTAGCTAAATTAAACTTGAATTGAAACATGCAAAATACAGGTCTATACTCTAGCTTCACTCACCATAAATTGCTGGCTCCTGCCTCTCATAGTCTTTATGTAATTTCAAAATATTTAACCAAAAAATGAAAAAATTGGAGGGGGTACTCTGACAGGCTTTAAATAATAGCTTTTTTTCGTGGGTCACATTTTTAATTTTTTAACCTATTAGATATGCAAACTTTTCAAATCTTTCTATTGTGTAATGTAGCCTCAGTATTAGGCCTTTAATGCCCATTGACATAATTTTTCTATGTCAAATAGTTTTTGAGTTGTGGGGGTTTTTGTTAAAAAAACGAAAAGTGGTCTAAGTTACCCCGCCGGTCTAAGTTACCCCATTTTACGGTACCTCTGCTATGGTCTGGAGCAAAAAAAAATATTTGCCGTATTGAAAAATTTTACTTACATAAAAGTTGCACCCAGGAGTCAGCTTGAGAATGTAATTGACAGAATTTGCCTATCTCATTCCAAAAAAAAATGGCAGCCATTTCTGCGCGATGGGGTAAAAAGGGACACCCCCTGGGGTAATTAGGGACACCCTTAAAAATGCATTTACAGTAGAACCTCAGTTAGCAAAGGCTTCAGTTAACAAAAAAATTGATTAACAACAAAGAATTTTGATTACATTTACCTTGCTTGGCAAAAAAAAATTCACTTATCAAAAAATTAGTGCATCATCGGTCGTCACAAAATTGTACATAGAATGCTATATATAGAATTGTGCACCAGGCATCATAGAATGAAAAATAATTGACCTAAACTATGATTTATTTCTTCAAAACATATGATGGTTGTCACTAAAACATTAGTTTCTGTTTCATGTATGTTTTTCATGACCTTTGTTATAGTGAAATCACTAGACTCGATTAAAATTGTACAAAATTACAAACCATCCTGTAAGCTTACAGATACAGAAGAAATGCTACATGGCTGCTGATATGAAGCTTGCAGTGGACAAGGTCGTTGTCAATGCTCAATGGCATGTCATGGATACAGTAATATTGCATTAATAATACAGTAATTAATGAATATGGTAATATCATATCAATAAAGGAATAACTAGTAAAAATCACAGAAAATGTCATTTATTTTACATCTACATCATCTACAATGAAAGAGAAGGACTTCAGAGTACTGTTAGTAATTAGATTAGTACACTCTGCATGCTTCAAATGTTTGAAATTGAGTTTTATTTCAAGTGTCCCTTTTTACCCCATTTCAAGATTAATTCAGGAGCCTTTTATATTGCGTCTAGCGCCTTACAAATAGCATATGGAATTTTTTGAAGATGCCATTTGATAGCTCTTGCAAAGAGCTATAAAATGAGCCTAAACTTGTTTCTGAAATGTTTAATGGTAAGAAGTTATCAACAAAAAACGCTCAAAACTGTCCCTTTTTACCCCATTTGACGGTACATCATCCTTATAAACACTGAACACAATCTACAGTCATACAGGGTAATAAGGGACAATTTTGAGCATTTTTTGTTAATAACTTCTAACCATGAAACATTTCATAAACAAGTTTGGGCTCATTTTAAAGGTTTTTACAAAAGCTATTGCATGTAATCTCAAAAAAAAATCCATATGCTACTTGTAAGTTACCAGATGCATAAGAAAAGCATCCCAAATTACCCCATTTTAGTGGCAACCATCATATTTTTTGGAAAAATAAATCATACATTAGGTTAATTACTTTTCAATGATTCTATCTATCATTCCATGTTGCCCAGTGCACAATTAGGGTAAACGCAGTATATTCCGACACATTAAGGATGCATCGAGAAATGAAAAACAATAAAAAAATAACAGTATGCGTTACTCGAGTTCCGTTTCCTGGAGAAAATTCAGCATATTAGACTCTCAAAACACCGTACTATGCGCCAGCAACGATGAAACATCACAAAATGTTGCCAATTTCCATATTTATTTAAAAGCCTTTAGAATGCAAACCTACCAAATCCCTATATTCCGACACTGTGTGTGACTATATTCGGCACGTGGTGAGACGTATTCTGACCGCGCTTCAAATTGTACTAATACGTAATTTCGACATCCACGTGTTCGAATTCTGATCGCTGTGTGAGCTATAATGGAATACAACACGGCTTTGAATTAGAACACTATTGAATATTGAGCACTACTCAATTAGGCTTTTAATTAACAGTTATTAAGCTTTTAATTAAGAAAATTTAAATTTTGGCACACAGCTTGGAACGAGCTGTGTGTGTCCAATTCAAGTTGTGTCGAAATTAGTTTTTATGTGTCTAAATGCATTTCTCAACTTAATCATCTATTAATTTATTTACCACTTGAAGTCAGCAAATACAAGTATACTCAAAGGATTCCTAATATATTCACAGACGTATTTAAAAGTCTCAAACCATAATATTCTTTCTACACAAACAGTTTATCACTATTTGGTAGAGCAAGGTCAACTGTCAACTTTGACACATTTTTCGATGATCTCATTGGGTGGCATGCACCGTCTCTCTTTGGATCTCAACATTTTCCTGCTAGATGGCCCAGACCTAGTGTTTTGGCAGTAGTTTGATGCGCAAATGTATGACGTCACTATTTCAACCATCAACGAACGCATGGAACTAAAACAAAGCTTAATATAAAGGAAAAACTATAGAGGTGTCAGAAGGAATTATCCACGATGTCTGAATATACTGCGTTTACCCTATATCTAGAACATTCTATGCACAATTTTGTGATGACCAGTGATGCATTAATTTTTTTCTAAGTGTTTTTTTTTCAAAAGCAATGTAAATGTTTTCATAATTCTTTGTTGTTAATCAATTTTTTTATTTTTTTTAACTGGAGGCTGGAGCCTTTTCTAACCCAGGTTCTACGGTAAATGTGTTTTTAGGGGTGTCCCATATGATATTACCATGATGGGCCCGGCTGCCCAGGAGTTGGGGTTGTCCCATATTACCCTCATTGTGCAGAAATAGCCACCATTTTTTTTTAATTGAGGTAATAAATTCCATTAATCAAGTTTTAAAGCCAACACCTGTCTGCAACTTTTTTACAAGCAAAATTTTTCAATAGGTACAACTGTACAAATTACAATAAATATTTTTTCTACTACAGACCCTAGCAGAAGTACTGTAAAATGGGGTAACTTAGACCGGCGGGGTAACTTAGACCACTTTTCGTTTTTTTAACAAAAACCCCCACAACTCAAAAACTATTTGACTAAGAGCTGGGGTAACAAAGACCATCACTTTTTTTGAAATTACGTAAAGACTATGAGAGGCAGGAGCCAGCAATTTATGGTGAGTGAAGCTAGAGTATAGACCTGTATTTTGCATGTTTCAATTCAAGTTTAATTTAGCTAGTAAAAAAATTGCATCATTTATAAAATAAAAGTGGTCTAAGTTACCCATTTTACGGTATTTTTTTCAAAATATCACTTCACAACATTTATTTCAGGGATTTTTTAGAGCAAGTAATTGTTTGATTTCTTGACTTTCTTAATGTAATGCTACATAGGCCTAGATGAGAAAAATGTTCAAAGTTTATGTCACTATTTATATTTTAGCAATATTTCAATTAGTTTATATTTCAACAAGGGATATTTCAACAAGGATAATACCAGGATTAAAGGGCAAGTCTTATGAAGAAAGATTGAAGATTATGAAGCTTCCCAGTCTCCATTATCGTTGCCTGCGTGGTGACCTCATTGAAGTATACAAGTATACTCATGGTTTATACAAGGTCCCAGAAGGAGTACTAGAATTTGAAACAAGAACCAACACCAGGGGCCACAGCTATAAACTAAAAAAACTGCGGTTCAACTTATCCACGCGACAACATTTCTTCTTGCTTCGAGTCACTGACATGTGGAACAGCCTCCCTGAAGATATTGTTGACGCTCCGAGTATGAACGCGTTCAAGAACAGACTAGACAAGGCCATGCATGACTATGAGCATATGTTCAGTCTTAAAATGCCTCGTACCCTACGGAACAACTGATATCTTCCGTCCGTAAGGCCAGTCTAGTCAAGAAAAGTACAAGAATCGGTGACAGGCCTATCCAGGCCTATTTATTTAATGCCGAAGATACTATACTATACTATACTATTATTACTATACTAGTTTGCTGCTTCAACATTTTTATGCTGTGGCAACTTGGCAAGCGGTCAACTCCCTGGCCAAGGACTGTCCTGATTTATCCAGCCAGGGCCAGCCCATCAACATCAATTATTACCCAATACCAAGTTTGACAGTACCTAATCTTCCACTTCCAGAGTTCCAGCCGTCTTCCAGGCCACGATTATTCCCCAAAAAATTACAATTTTGCACGTGTTTAACAAGAACATAATTTCTTGAGTAGATCTACAAGATTTAAAATACTCTTTGGCTTTGGGAATTGGGCTTTGATACTTCAAGAAGTCTAGCTATGAGAAAGTCCCACCGGGCACCGACTCCTCACATTGCAAAACATGCATTCAAAATTTCAAATTTTACAATCTTACCTATAATGTAATCAAGAAGTGTACTCCTAATGGAGCAGTCTTGTCATTGAATTTCAAATCTCAAGCAAACCAATTGTTCGCAAAAAAATATCGTGTCAGCAAGTTTTGCAATTCGCATCACAGTCAAATTAGAAAATCAATACTCACCCTATCGGGGCTTGAAGTTTTCACACATGACAGACACATCACTACACAAAACTAAAAAGAAATGGAGCAGAAAAATAGCCTCAGCATACAATGATAAAATAGCTACCATTAAAGAATTTCAGTCGGTTGATCTTTCCGGACTCTAAAATGGAATTAGGTACGAAAAAGGTACCTAGCGACAGAGTCAGGCTGTTGCAAAGACTGGACTCTGGAGCCGATTGCGAGAGCATCGTCCACCAGTGTTGTCAACTTTTTTCTCGGCAAGAACACCAGATTGCCTGGCTCAAAATACCAGAAATTTTAAGTGTTCAAAAAACACACTGATACTTTCATATTTGATTAAACTATTCGCCATAAACGCTGGTTAAGAAACAAAAGGTATTTCTTTATCTTTTTTGCGGTGCAATTATCTGGCTTAACGATTAATTAGCTAAATTGAACACGTTATATTTTTTTCCCTCTATTGAGGGAAACACTTTTCTTATTCTCGATTTTTAGCGCATTTTCTCATTTATGGAAAAAATGCACTATTGTGCTCGCCATGTCCGTCTGTCTGTCTGTCCGTCCGTCCGTGACCTCAAGTTTTCGTCGACGCGAGAAAATGCGCTCTCTGTCACTCACTTCAGTGAGTACTGACTACTGAGTTACATTTTTTACAGTTTTCTTTTTATGTGTTTGATTACATGGACACTTTTAAGCGCATTTTCTCATTTATGGAAAAAATGCACTATTGTGCTCGCCGTGTCCGTCTGTCTGTCTGTCCGTCCGTCCGTGACCTCAAGTTTTCGTCGACGAGAAAATGCGCTCTCTGTCACTCACTGCTGTGAGTGCTGAGTTATATATTTTTTTTATCACAGTGTGACACTTCTTCTGCAGTTCAACTTCACTAAAGATGAGTAAGCCAGGGAAACAGGTCATCTTCCTCTTCGTTATACCTATTCGAACATGCTTGTATTGCATTTATTTCACATTTCGGGCGTGATCACAAAATTGCGGCAACACTTGTTGTTACGGCTGATCAGATAGATTTTCGTCCGAATAACGGACTCCAGTGCCCTACGTAGTTGAAATTCTGTTTCGTTACTTGTTTTTCACATAGGTAAGTTGCTTGTGAAAACACTCGCTCCACGAATGCATTGGAGACTGGTATGATGTAGACTGGAGACTGGTCAATAGTAGACAAATGATGAAGTAGTCAGCTAGTTACATGAATGGATGATGAATTTCAAGATCAGTAAAATATTGAATGGCACCCCAGAATTCAAGTGACACTCCAATAAGTGGCTCTCCAGAATTCAAAACCACTGTAGCGACCATGTATATACGTTTCCTCAAGTTACCCATGCAACTCTTTTTCTAAGATTGTGACTAGCCTATTATAATTTAGCGAAGTTACTCATCAACTCTAAATCAATATTATTATTCATGTTATTGCCTTAAGCATCACAATACGTTATCAACTGCGATTGAAATACTGTTAAATATGAATTAGCTATTTATTTATAATATTAGCTCCGACCTAGGACATTGCAACATTAAGTAACTCCAGTAGTCATAATCATTTACACATCTTTAATACAGTGCGTCTTCAGACCTAGTTTCAGTTAATGAGAACTGCTGCTTAGATTCATCCCCGAATACGAAAGAATTGTAAGACGCTAGCGCAGTCTGGTCTCTGACTAATAACACGCCTTAAGGCCCGTTTACACTAGTGGCAACGACATGCGCTTTGAGTCGTTTGCTGCAGTGCCTCACCGCGCACAACCGTTCACACTACTTTTGTACTCTGTAGTTTGAGACCGCGCGCTTTGAACATTAGTTGCCACCTAGACATCAATGAGGATGGATGTCACCGAATTTGATCTGTGGGCCATTGTTCTCGGGTGTGCTGCGGTCCGTCATTCTGCGCACTATGCCAGTTGTAAACGAGAACTCAGCATAGGCATCATAATTAGAGAAGTAGCACATTCGAAAAGATACAGTTTATAAAAAATATAGTCTATTCATAAATAAAAAGCTCCAATATTCGTACCGATATTACATCATACTTTGAAATCGCTAAACGGTATGCATAAATTGTCAGGAGTTGCTAAAATCACATAAACTAAACACGTCATGTAAAAATAACTTACATCATTTGTATTTCGATTTTTGGACTCCTTTGACCGAACACTCCATAGACATTCATGTTCTCTATAAAGATCAATTAGGCTCTCTACTAGAGAGTGACTCCAAACGAGAGTGGTGCTTAGTCGACATTTGGAGTGCCGGACCAGCGTACACAATCAACCTTACTAGACCACAGTACTAAGAATTTAAAAGAAAAGAATAGTCCACAAAAATTCATATCTTTATAGAAAACGTTTCGGATACCAGTTGAGATTATTGGCATTTCGAGCTCTTTTATCTCAACAACCAACAGGTTGCACCCTCTGCATGCGCTTCTTGACCGATTGACGAGCTAGCGATTGACAGGGGCCATGCGTCATGCAACACCAGCGCGGCGCTTAGTAGATAGCTAATAAAGAATTGATATCACTTGTATGCTTAAATCGCAAATTAACTACGAATTTAGTCAGTTCCTAGAATCTAGATTCATAAATTAATACATTGAAACCATAGAACGAATTGAATTTCTTTAAATGAATAATTTAGATTTTTAATTTGATATAAATTTTTAATTCAATTTAAATTTTAAATTCAATTTAAATTCTTAATTAATTTGCGATTTAAGCATACAAGTGATATCAATTCTTTAATAGCTATCTACAAAGCGCCGCGCTGGTGTTGCATGACGCATGGCCCCTGTCAATCGCTAGCTCGTCAATCGGTCAAGAAGCGCATACAGTGTCTGCTAAGCGCCTCTGCATGCGCTTTGAGGCACTTGACTCTCGTGTGTTGCCCCTAGTGTGAACGGGCCTTCATACGAACCACGGGCGTTTGGTACAACCAAACGTTTGACACGAGTCACATATTAAGGGACTCATACCGCGCTGCTAACATTCCCACGTCCTACACCACCAAACAAAAACGGTAGAGCTTGCGTCGCAGAGATCGGTTCGACAATCTCACTCGTCAGTGCTATATCATCACTGATCAGTATTCAATCAAGAATTATCACTCTCGTGCTCATACTGCACTAAGCACTTTTGTTAAATGTTAACAAATAGATTGGAGATACTTCATCCACCCGGATCGACACTTCAGCGGTAATCTCGCTGCTCCATAAATGGCGGGAAACCTCTAGTCGCGCTGCTCTGAAAGTAATCTATATAATCCAAGCCTACGATGGGGGAAGTTCAAACTAATCAGAGGTGGAAATTAAATTTAATCCAGTAAATTTACAGTAAGTCAGAAAATACCAGATTTAGGCAAATATACCAGAACTAAAATATTCATACTAGAATACTTTCTTAAAATACCAGACTTTGTGAAATCTGGTATAAAAATATGCCAGTTGGCAACGCTGTGACGCTGTCGTCCACTTCCGAAAACGCATTAATTACATTCATACATTTTGTTTTTTTTGGTAACTTGATTTTGAAGTGTAAATATGAATTTTACTTACTTCATAAGCCTTTTTTATTTAAATTTATTATGCTTTGAATCATTCCAAGCTCAATGATGATGGCAAAAAGAACATATTGAAATGGTTACTTTCCGCAATTTATGTTCAAACTTGTTTCGCGCCCCACGGCCCACACTGAGAGAGCCAGCGGCGTTCATACGGTAAACACATTACGATTGTGCTCTGTGATTACTAGAATTCCTCTGAGATTAACGTAAAATTTTCCTCCGTGATTAACGTAATACTCAGAATACCCACACTGTGCCACACATTTATCAACTTGAATTTGCTTTTCTGTATACTACGCGTATATAAGTTAATTGTCGAAATTAATTTTCAAGAACCCGGCTGGCTTTCTCGCCCCTCCCCCCTCCTCTTCTCTTCATGAGAAGAGGCAGTAGGTAGGTAAGAGTAGGCCTGGCCGCCTGCTAGTGCGAGCCAGCTCAAACTATTATTTATATTTAAGTCTTGTTGTTATCACTTAAATTGATCATTAGACATTTGTTTGATTGTTTCTTTTCTTGTACTAGTATTCGGCGCGAAATAGCTTAGTTAGCAGCTGAACTGCTGAAGCGCTAGTAATCAAAGGGTCACTAAACTAACTAACTTGTACTAGTATTGTATTTTCCATCAATTGATCAATTTTATTAGGTATACAATAATATTATGAAAATTTAGTTATTATTCTGTAATTCTGTCATAAACCACCTGTCAATTGACTATTTCTCTTTTCTGTGTAAACATTTCTTAAGTTTCTATATACCTACAGCAGTAAAAGCTCTTGTATTGAAATTATAGAAAATTACCTGCATGATGTCAGAACTAGGCTCTGACACTCCAGAAGATGAAGAGGACATAGTTCCTGCAACACCAACACAAGACATACCGGAAAACAGTGTGCAACCTGGACTTCTGCTACCATAAACTATGGAAATCAATGAACCAATACCAAATGTGCTTGATGATGACATTTTTGCTGCAGCTCCAAATGCTGTCGGCCTGCTTGCGGTTGGAGCGCGGCCCGGATACGGGCCCAAATCGACAGCAAATCTCTCCCCGTTCCCCGAAAGGGGGACCCGAAGCCCATGTTTTTTGGTGCTGCCGGCCTGCGGCTCCCCACGTGTGGTCAGCGTCTCTGTTGCTACTAGCGGGGGATGTCGAGGAGAACCCAGGTCCGAGGAGAGCCCGGGTCAGGGAGAACCCGGGTCCAACTTGGATGTGTGTATGCAATAGGCAAATCACAGAAAACCAATACTCAGTTGCCTGTAATAGTCTTGCCCCACAGGCCACATTGGGTCCATAAAAAATGCACAAACATAACACTCCGTCAATACACAAATTCCTGGACCTGTCCCCAACACACTCCACCATTCCCTCCCAGGCCTGATACAGAGCCACCACCAGCATTGCAACTTGTTCTGAACCCAGCCACTGCACCCCAACCTCTTTTGCCCCTGCCAGTCACAACACCTAACAATCCCACACAACCCCTATCTCCACCAATCAGACTCCGAAAAACACCCTCTGATATCAAGATAATGCAAATAAACACAAATGGACTCACAAACAAAATAGAAGACCTCAAACTAACCACAAAACAACAACATGACATCGACATCATCACAATCCAAGAATCCAAACTTGAACCA